AAAGAAATTCCAGAGAAATTGAGACAAAATTGGTGCACGCACAAGTAGACTCGAAATATTGTGTTTCTATTCCAAGCTCTTTCTAGAAAAAATGAAAAAACGAAAATTCAAAAGCCGGGATTGGACAAAAATTAGAAGGGAAAAGCTAAGAACTGAATAGAGAAGAAATGTAGAAAAATTGAGAAAAAAAATGGTATTCAGAAAGAAGACATGCTTCTGAAAAAATTGAGAAATAGAGAGAAGAAATTTAAGCGGAATTGAGAAACAATAATTGGTAGACAAATAAATAATACATACAAAGTATTTTGTTCCAAAAACCGAGTACTCCACTGGTACAAAAATTAAATGGAGAAGGGCTCATCGATACGATATTTACATATATCGATATGTACCTACATCGATTATTATTTATAACATAACTAAAATAAATTATTGCTGTTTCGTCTGGTTCATTGTGAAAATTACGTTATGGAAAGAACGAGCACTACGAGCGTTTTACTGGGGCTTTTATTTCTAAATCGAGGCAGCCTAAAAGAAAAATCAAGGATATCGTACTGTCACAACCCCTATACCACAGTTTATAAACCTTTAAGCGGAATTCCGCTTAGAGGTTTATAAACTGTGCCTATACGTTTCGTCCTGAGACGTCACAACAGGAGCGTGACTTGGAGGCGTAGGTGGGGTTCAGGCAGAGAGAAACTCGCTTGGTATAGGTATAATAAGATGTGTATTGAATAATAATAGTATTACCCTAAAAATGGTATCATGACGTCTCTTCTACGGAGGGACGTACTACTTATGGGCCACTCTGTATTAATTATGTACCCTCTGTACAGCTGACGTGACTGAAGACTGAAACTAGGTTTGAGACAGGTCCAGAAGGGCGTTTCCCATTAAAGGTAGTTTGCACTGGGAGGAGACTTAGCTAGAGGGGCTTTTCCCATTAGAGGTAGTTCGCACTAAATTTAGTCTGCCGGTAATGAATTTCGGCGCTGTATTTATACCAAATAAATGCTGACTCGTCGACACACTTAAGTAAAATTGATGTACCTACAGAGTGGTATTTACTTAAGTAGTTGACAGTAAAGTGTGTTTTTTTTTTAAAGATAAAAGTCAAAGTGACATTATATTGGCAATACAATGTAAAATTGTCAATGCTCTCAAATTTTTTATGTAGAAAAGGCTTATGTTGCCAACATAGTTACTAAATTCTTGATTTGGGGAATTATCTTTAAAAAAAAAACAGACTTTACTATCGAAAGTATTGATATTTTCTCATAATAAAATCGATATGAATCTTGAAAGTAGAGACTTTGAAGGAATATCGTATCCTATGCATATCGATAAACCCTTTTCTATTTTCCATGGAACTACACGTAGGTACCGTTATTTTCCATTATTCTTGGCCTTTCTCATTCCCATCGGTCGTGTCTATGAGAATTAACAAATGACCAAGCGTGTTTTATTTTATAAGCTGAAAAAACAAAGTTGGGATTTGAACTTTAAGTGTGGAAGCCTATTGGAAAAATCGAAATAACTAGCCTAACGTTTCGATCGTGAACTGAGGGCTGAAAACGTGGAAATAAATGCCCAGACAGCACAAAGGCATCTAAAAGGCGTCCCAAAGATGTCCAGAAACGACATTCGAGGCCTCTGCTTACATCTTCAAATCGTCTTAAAGACATAAAGACGTCGAACATTACAAAACCCACGTCTTCAAGACGTCTGCCTAAAGACGTCTTCAGAACCAATATTCCATTATTTTATTACTCATCTTATAATTTTCAATTTTTGTCTATTCCAAACGCTAGGCTCTTGAATTCTGGATTTCTTTCAAACGAAAAGATACACAAAATTCATTTCGGAAATTAAAAAATAAAGAACTTTGAATGAAAAATTCAAGAGCCAAAAGAAAATTAAGAATCTAGAATAAAGAAATAAGGAAAAATCAAGAGCTTGGAATAGGAAAAATTATAAAAATTCATGAATTTGAATTGAAAGAGAAACATTTTCTAGCTAATATCTCCATATATTCAAATTATATCTATTCCAGGCGCTAGGCTGTCTGAAATAATTTCGGAGATTTTAAATTGTTCTGAAGCCGTTCCAAATGCTGCTGGAAAGTGTTCTAACTTGGCCAGAAGCCAATTGCTGTGACAGATTTTTAAGTATTTTAGAGCTTTATTGAAGCTCCAAAGTATTCTAAATTGGTTCGAAAGAGTTCTAAAAGGTTTCCAGTTCTGAACTGAATCCTAATTGTTCAAAAATAACTTTGAAATTTCTAAGTTGTTCCAAAATATTCATATATTTGGATTTGAACTGTTTTGGAGGCGTATTAAAGGTCTAAAGTTCTACATTGAGTGTTTTAGGGTGTCCTAACATGGGTTTCAAACTTCTGAATTGTTCTAAAATGCTTTTGGGTTTTGAATGTTCTGGGACATTCTAAAATGGTTCTGAAGTTTCAAAATATTCTGAAGCGCTATAGAATGCTTTTGGAAATTCTGATGAATTGAATTTTGAGTGTTTTGAACTTTCCTAAAGGCGTATGAAAGTTCTAAAGTGTTCTGTAGCATTCTTAAATGGTTTCCAGTAACTTTTAAATTGAATGAGAAACGCATTCTGTGGAAAATTTTTAGTATACATCTTTCGACGTTCCTAAGATATCAACAGACGTTTTGCTTACGTCTTTAAGGCGTGTCAAAGACATCTTGAAGACCTCGTATGTTAAAAAGGACTGTTTGTACCGGGGTATGCACCAAATAATTGTCTTCAAGACAACGTCTTCTAGACGTCATTTTTTGGTCTTCACTTCTGGAAACAATGTCTTTAAGACTTTGTGTGCTGTGTGGGTAGCTACTTAGTTTTGCCTCATAACCCAAGATCTTTTCTACATAATGAACCAGGGAAATGAGATTTCAATCGTTGATATTAAGGTATTTGTTGTGACTAGAATAAATAATGTGAAACCGAAATTTCTCGTAGAATCCTATAGAAAATTATTAAAATAAAGAAAAAGTAGCCCCAAAATATGTCTACAAAATAAACAAAATTGACCTAGTCCTAGATCAACCTGCTGGTCAATGCACTCACACCCAATTAATCATTTAAAAAAAATTATGCAAATAAGACAAATGCCGTACAAGCTTTTTTTCTTATAAGAGAAACCTTCGGGTAAATTCAAGGCTGAAGCTGTGAAAGGGAAAAAAATATGTATCTTGTTAAAGAATTAATACTTTACTGCTCACCGCAAAAGAAAATATAAAAAACGTTAGAAAAAAGTCGCTTTATTAATCTTAAGTGAATACTCAATTAACTTGCGCATTTCAATATGACATTAATTGTACAAAAAAAAAGTCAACATTTTTACAGAAATTGACCAGTTTTCGAAGTTCAAATATGTATTTCGAAATATGTACAAGTTGTACCTATTGTATTGTGACCATTGGGGTGTATTAATCTGTGGGGGTGTATGCTCCAAGTAACGAGGGTGATGAAAGGGTAAACAGGTTCTGGCAGGAATAAATTCACATAAGGAAATAATGATACTCGGTGATCTAAATGCGAGAGCTTGAGAAGAAGGTACCTAATAAAACACCTGATTGTAGGACAGTATGCAAGGAATGAAAATGGACAAAGGCTGATAAGTATATGTGAAAGCGCCTCACTGAAGATAATGAAAGGATTTCATCCCCACAAGGAAATCCATAAATTGACCTGGATACAGCGTACCAAAGGACTAAAGTCAATCATAGATTACGTAATTAACAGACAGCACTCCAGAATAAATGTAAATGACGTAATAAGGGTATATCGTAGCGCGGAATGCGGATCGGACAGTATCGGACCATCACTGGGTTAAAGCACAAGCAGTGGTTGATTTAAGGAAAAACGAAAATCGGGCAAACAAGGTCAATACAAATATATCCAAGTTAGACACAGTAAAGTATAATCTCGATAGATAAAGATCAAAAGATATTAGAGGGGTTTAAGGGTGGCAGAAGCATAGAAAGCCATAAAGAACGTGAGAAAAAGTAGGAAGGACCCAGTGAATGTCCAGATAATATCTATGGGAGAATGGATTCAACATTACAACAATCTGCTGACAGAGGAACGAGAACAATTTAAGGGACGTATTGAGTAGATTGGGGACGATAAAGTAAATCATGTGGAAGCGATAAAGGCGTAAGAGGTTAGAACAAATGTACAAGATATGGAAAATGGAAAGGCTCCGGGGCCAGAAAACATTTCCATTAAGCTAGTCAATGGTGATGAAGATTCTAGCAGATATATACAACGATCTGTTACTAAGAGGGTACACTCTGTCACAGTCCCTATATCTGCAAACTCGAATATACCAAACATAAGTTCCATCCACAAAAAAAGAGATCGAACTTATGGATATTATTTTTTTATACAAAAATTTGTGAACATACATCACATAGATACACCAACAAACTGATTTTCTGTTTGTTTATTTGTAATATTAATATTAATCACTTTCTGGAATGTTTCAAGAATTTTCACACACTTATTGTAAAATGTATAAAACATGAAAAACTTATAACTCAAGCAGTTCAATGAATATTAAAAACCCATTATTTAGACTATTGCTTCACTTAAAATCCATCCACCTTCTACATCAATATGCAAATATACCAGATTACCGAAGGTGAACAATTCCGTCTGCAATAATTTTGTATTTATCTATCAAATTAAATTAAGAGAAGTTTCGATAAAAAAAAATAAGTCAAGATCAACGACGAGATTCTCTTCAATGTCGCGTTCTCAAAAGCTTCACTATAGATTTCCTAGTTCCAAAAAGGTAGTTGACTTGCGAGAAATTAATCCCCGATCGAAGGTTAACGTCGGCAAAAGTACCGTAATTGTGTAACATGCAATATGATCATTGAAAAATTGCGTTTACTATAATGTAACTGTTTATGTTTGTTTGATAATCTTCTCAATAGAATCGTGTTATTAATGGTAATTATTTCTTTCAGTGAAAACAAGAAAACAGATGGTTTTGCGTATGATAATCCAAGCCTATCTTTTTCTGATGAGAGTCTGAAAGATGTAACTAATGCAGAGTTTCAGGGCAGCAGAGATTTTATTTGTAAGTACTTACAGGGTTATAATATTTATTAACATTACTAGTACGTTTATGAACATGATTACCATAACGAGTGTGAGAGATTAGAACGACGAGATCGTAGACCGAGTCGTTCTAATCACCCGAGTTTTGTAGTCATGTTTAAACGCACGTGTGGTGTACAACGTTTTTTCGACAAGCGAAAAATAAGAAAATGTTGTTCTAATTCTCCTTGATTAGTAGTTGTATACCTTCATTCTACCTTTACAGATTTTTAACTATGACATTTGTCACATCACAAAAACTATAGTTATCTTATAGATTCATATAACCTAGTTCATAACACATAACTCGAATACTAGAATAAAAGTTATGTTAAAACGTCTTAACCAAACGCTTGTAGATAAACATACTTACTTATTATGCCGTTAAGATTTTGGTTTGGTTGGTGCGATTGTTTATTAAATTATTTTAATTCACACTTGCACGATTTCTCTCTAGATATTTTTGCTGTTTCTAGCTTAACAAATTGGAGCTTAGAAAGTAGCATATATGTTTCAAATTCCAAACAAGATTCCAAAATTGAAACACAATCTTATGCCAAAAAAATTATGTGCTTCATACTGTGACGTATGATATTTCCAAAAACCTAGAGGTTCGCGCAGAACAATTTTATTCAGAACTATCTGTCTCGAATCAATAAAACCAACATGTTCCACTTGAGAAAATTGAAATAAGACAGCAATGGAGTAACAAAAAATTGTGGACAGATGAGATAGGGGAAGAAATAAAACAACGGGACATATATTATAAAAGAGCAGTTATAACACAAAACAGAGAAGACTGGGATAAGTTCAGACAGAAAAGAAACTTGATACTGAACAGAGTTCGATCTTTTTTATGCAGTTGTCTCATCGAGCTGGTAACATCCGCCAAATTGGGCAAAGACTTAGATACATAGGTAACCATTCCTAGCAAAATCTGTAGTTCTTTTTTGTTTTTTGGATTGTTTCATTGCAAAGAAATGAACATTGACACGTTTAGCTCTGTCTAACACTGCTTCCAGTCTTTTGGCATGTTCTTCCTTATTCGCTGCCCAGACTATATTTGCCCCTTCCATCTTGGATGCAATTTCCTCAAAAGTTGGAAATTGATACCACTCACGTACTATGGCTTTATTCAGATTTTGTGGGTCTAAACAAATTCGAAGTCTATTGTCTGGCTTTTTTACAATGACCATGGAACTGCACCACTCAGTTGGTTCAGTCACTTTTCTCAAAACGCCCATTTTCTCCATTTTATCTAGCTCACTTTTAACTGACTGCTGAAGGCTGATTGCAATTTTTCTTGGAGGTTCTACAACTGGCTCTACCTTTTTCTTCAACTGAATTTTATGTGAATTTTTCAATTCACCAATGCCTTGAAAAATATGGTCGTATTTGTTTACTAGACTATCAATCACATATTTGTCTTCCTGTTCTACCGATCCTACTCTCTTTAGCAGATTAAACATCTCAATAAATGGAAGACCAATTATGCATGGAGCATTAAAGTTGACTACAATGAACACTACATTAGGTTTTTTATTATTAGTTTCACAAATAAGTGTAGTTTGTCCATAAACACCCATTAAAGAGCCTTCATAGTTCAATAGCTTTGTATTGGATGACTGAACTTCAGCATTAAGTTCTTTAGCAGTTCTCAAGTTCAAAACATTAACATCAGCACCAGTGTCCATTTTGAAACAAATTTCCTTATTATTGACCATTTCTTATTGCATCCTGCCAACTAAAACTTCTTGTCCTACCTTCTGAACTGTGCCTATAACATTTCCTGCTCTTCATCATCAGCTTCTACTGAATATACATTTTGAGTAATGTTTCTTTTTTCACGACAGTACTTTTGAAAATGGCCAAACTTGTTACATGCTTTACATTGTCTTCTATATGCCATACTGTTTTTTATCAACTCTATTTTCTGAGTTTGTTCTAAAGCTATTTCCACTTTAATTTCGGGCTTCATATTGATCTTTTTGTGAAGTATACTCTCTGTATTATCCTGATTTTTGTGCTTTCTTCACAATATTAACATTCGTCTCAATTTCTAGCTTTTTTGATTGAAGTTCAGCTAACTTTTTAAATTTACTGTCAAACTAGAGGCACCAAGAACCTCATTATATCAGAATTCATATCTCTGGAGAACAGCATCGCTGTGGAATAAACTCCCTGCGACGGTTTTCCCTGCAGGTTACAACCTGAACCGTTTCAAGACCAACATACACCGACATTTCCGCGCACTTGCCGCTTCTCGAGCGTGATAGGACATTTCCTTGCGAGAGCGCATATCCGTAAAAAAAAAAAAAAAAAAAACTTCTAAAGCTAAATTCTTCTTTACAACTTATCCTGTTCACGGCGCCATGTAAGGTTCGGACATTTGGAATAAATGAAATATAGTTGCAAAGATTTATTTCAAGCTCAACGCAACTGATTCCGTCACTATATCCTGTGACTATAATTATCACCCCTGCTCATTGTCATACCACATATTATTGGTAACTACCTACCTGACAGTGGGTAACTCTGTTTCGATCAACATGTCATTTTTTCATCGTCTATAGATACGTTAATATGACTAACTTATCACTATCAGTTACAATATTTTATTTTAATTGTTTTCCTCGTATATCAGTTGGTGATCTTGGAATGTCTTCTGTCAGAAGGCAAATATCACAAATTGCAGTGATGTGGACAGGGTGGTCTATAGATAACCCATCAGAAATATAATTTAATTTTTCAGGGATGTGTTTTAACTTAATATCGTAAGAATAAATCATTGAAATTCCAATAGGTGACTTTGAACTCAACACTTATGGAGATATTGATGTTAAGCTGTAACAGGTGACTGAGGATTGAGGAGTTTTTTACACTTACAACTTTACAATACCAATAAGACTTCTCTTTCAGTGGAATTGTATTGTTTTCCTGTTTAAGTTACAGAAGTCTACTGTAGCGCTGCTGTTTATTTTTAGGTTGGTCAGCAAAACTTCTTGTTTGTTGGCTAATATCAAGTGAAGTCTTGTCAGCATCCGCTACGCATAACATTTACTCTGCGTTTACTTTTTCGAGCCACTGACAGGTTTAATTGATCCTCTTACTATTAGTAAATTTGGAAATTTGTATTAGTATGTGGTATACAATAGAAAAACTTTGTTGTTGAAATATTCATGTCAAGCATGAGTCTAGGGAAGGCTTCAAATTTATGTGTAGAAAGTATCGTGCTTAAACGTAAAGAAGTAACAGAAGTATTTTGTATTGCAACTAACTGGTACGTCAGTTTTCAGCAATTGGTTTTTCTTAAGAGGAAATTCTATAATCTCTCCGTTATTTCTCCTCGATTGGTTGCAAGCGCATGTGTGTTGGGATGGAGATTCGATGGGTGACCGCAGAAGTACGGGACAATAGGTCGCTCACACTGCCGCCAACCATCTAGTCTCCAAGCTTTCATACTTGGAAGGAGTAGATGAGACACCACAAAAAGTCTTCAAGGCTGAAGTGTAGAGTATGAGCTCGAAATGGTGAAACGAACAACAGCAACAATAATATTGATGATGGATGGATTTAGTTAGTGTCGACCAATAAGATGAAAATATTTTCCGGGATGCCGACTTTCGCACCTCGTGCATGACTTCATCCAGAAACTGAAGTTATATATGTAGTTTCGCCCTGAAAAAGGGTCTAGCCAAGAACCCTCTAGTACCTAACAGGATTTTAATTAATTAAATTTTCCGTCTGGTCTACTTGTGTATTTTCTAGTCTTAATTGCCAAGTTTTACTAATTTTTTGTTTGATCAACTATTTTTTGGAACATTACCTTTTTTTAAGTACTCCAATAAGCGAATAGGTAATTTCCTTGTACTGTAAATCACAAAATATTTGCAAATTGAATGAAGTGACTAATATACTATAATATTTACTTACTATTGTCAAGATATCACATGACCTACCTTGTATTAGATGCTAGACACTAGACATCATTTAAATTATCAATTAACAAGGCAGGTATTTTTGATTGTCGGGGATAATACCACGAGAGCTTCAAAATTACCGATAATTTTTCACGATTGCGTGTTTTCTATAATTCCACGAGTCCGTAGGACGATCGAGTGAAATTTGCAGAGAAAACACGCATGAGTGAAAAATTATCGATAAAATAAATATTTACTGCAGTTCCACTACTTCTTAATCAATTTGAGAAGCTTAATCAAAAATATTTAAATTGAATTAATTTTCCCTGGTAAGCATTTGAGATAGCGCTAGAAAGATTTACTTAGTGACTATGGATGATTGTTTTTCACTTTTGAGTTTCGACCCAGATAATTAGCCATAAAAACAATGTTTTTAAATTCATTTTATTTAGAAGCAGCCTTATTTTCGTTTCCTAATTTTGATTACTTATAGGTTGCTATAGGTATTGTATTTTTTTTTTGTTAAATAGTGATGAGTGGTGTGCTTCTGCTTATATAATGACTAGTAGAGTGAGTGAAAATTAGAATGTTTTTGCATTTTTCTAGATCTGGCTATGAAGGTAATAGAATTTTTGAGTAATATAATAAAAGATAATTAGTTTATCTACGTCTGGTATACAGTAACAACAAATAAATGAGTACCTACCTAATTTTAATTGGAGTGGAAAAATGCATCATTAGAGATTTTTTCCTGGCATGTAATACCAAAACCAAAGTCTAGAACGACTAGTGGTTCTTGACCTGCTTGAAGATAAAGTTTTCTGGAAACCTTCAAAAGCTCCTTATTCTGGTTTCCGAGATTTTATAGAGAATTTAGTTCTTTCTTAGGAAATCTATGATACTAGTTCTTTCGTTCGAAATAAACGAAACTATGGCCGAATTTTCGAGATCATGTTCGTAGGTATACTTCAGATCATGTTAGTAGATACTGCCAAAGATCATTACATTCGGGAGTCTGCTTTTTTGTATAGAAGTTATATTTTATATGGTTCAGAGAACCTTGTAATATCTAACTATGTGTTCTGTCGATGTTCTTGGGTCGATGATTGTTTTATTGTGAAAGTAGTTTCTGGTAGTTTTGGGATCTTCATTTTCAGAATGTTGGTTGATTCGGACTTATTTTGGATTTTTTGTTGTCCCAGAAGAAAAGTTTGACACAGAGATAGAGTTGCTGGCCTTTTGGGAAATTTCTTCCCATTGGAGGACAATAAATCGGCTGAGGTCGACATATTTTCGACTTACCCTTGTAGAATTCCGATGGTAATTCGCAAATGGTTGAACCAAATTTTGTAGGGGATATTTTTTCTGTTTCTGGAACATCTTTCTCCGGTAATTTTCTGATCTGTGATAGGAGCAATTTTATTTGGGGATGTCCATTCAGGATACGGCTTCAAATGTTTCCTTTTCTAATCTGTAAAGGATGCATACCTACCTAGAAATTTAGTTGGCGATGTCCGTTCAGGCTAAAATTCGAATGGTTTTTTTTCTAAAGATTTTCTATTTTGTGATGGAAGCTCAGAAATTGTTGGCCCAATTATTATTGACGATTTTCTTTCAGGATATAGTTCCATGGGTTGTCTTCCAAGTGATTCTCTATCTTGAGATGGGAATTCTGGAATTCGTTGGCCAGTTTTATAGTTGGTGAGGTTCTTACAGAACATGGAATTGTTTTTTGATGATCCCCTTACAGTAAATGACACGTTATTTAATACTACAGGGCACGTCTTTATCAATACTCTTATAAATTCACAAACTAACTAGGTTTTTCAGAGGCGGTGTCAATCTGATATCATCAGCAACAACCCTGAAAGCATCCTTCTAAATTGCTTAGGAAACTCAGAACGGAACCAACTTTTAGTTGGCGACCTCCTTTCAGATTATGGTTCCAAGGGCTGTTTGTCAGGAGACTTTATAGATTAAAATGATGGAACTTGTGACTACTATTCACCAGAAGGAGACTTACGGTCCAAATAAGGCTTTGCTGGTGAATTTTCCCTTACAGGACTTTCTTATTGGGATATTGATTTCCTGGTGAATTCACAGGGCTGTTTTCTGGTAGCCTTGTGGTTACACCATCCTATCAGAAGACACTTGCGGTTCTGGTGCTAGTTTTCACTAAGAATTCTTTCCAAAATACTCTAGCTAGCGATAGAGGAAAAGCTTTCCAGTCAGAAATTATCAAGCAATAAAAAAGATAATGGGTGGTAAGAAGCCAGTTACAACGGTTTAACAGAAAAAATAACTTGAAAAAACAATAACGGACATGTTATTAATACAAATACATGTATCGCAAGACTCTAGACAAATTTGTGTAGCTATGCCTGTATAACACAAAACTACATGATAGCCTATTTATGCTAATGATAATCGCTTGAATGGATAAAGAGAAAAACACTCCAGTAGAAGGGGACACAGTAGTTAGCTTTTCATTTGTAGAGATTCACCTAGAGTCTGAATACATATATACTGTGGATTTGCTTGAATCTTCTTATGAAAAATTCGAGTCTGATTCGGAATCGCAGCTGAACCTCTATGGTTCCGATTTCGCTTCTGCCTGGACGTTACGCTTGCTCCTCCATCGATTGTTTTAGAGGAAAAGTAACAGATTTATTTGATATTGAAGTTTTGACTTTTGCTAAAATACTCCAATAGGAAACAAATATTAACTCGCCGTTTTCAATTTTGTCACTCCTATAGGAAAAAAAAAACCCTAAATCAATCATATTCTTGGCCTGTCTAATAAAGTAATATTTTCGCTATAGGTAGGTACCATTGTGTCCATAATATTTATATCTTTATTACTTTTTGATCGTTTCATTAGCCCCTATCTTTAATCCCTTTCTTATTGATAAATTTATTGCGAATCTACTAAATATCCCTCTTACTGACCTTAGATAATCGACTCTTAAGTAATTTATTGTACTTTTGATAAAACTAAAGAGTGAAATGGAGTTTCTTATCAGTAGTATTCACTTCTGGGTAGACCTTGGAGGAACCTAGAGCTCAGGGTAGTGCCCGTTTAGTTGTGACGTCAGAGTAAAATTTGAATAATTGGAGATGATTGAAAAAGATCCACGTTTGTTTGATACTCTATGTAAGTTGATGTAATAGTTATTGGTTTGAAATTATATAGGTATATACCTAGTTTATATAAGGCATTTAACTTTTTTAACTGATTTTAACTAACTTCTCTTGTGTCTATGACTAGTAAGTATGGGTACGTATCTTATCAGCTACTTTTATTCAATTTTGTATACTTAACTGCCAATGGCACAAATTTCAACTGGATTTTATCCTATTTCAGTCAATTTTCCCAGAAATTTTGAGTATAGAGGTTACCTATATTATTATCTTCAAGCTGCTAGTAGATTCATAGCTTCCTTTGAATCATATATTCGAGATTTTTTAATCATTTTAGAGTATCTTTTTTGGTTTATTTCATTACATGTTATTCCAAGATCTATTTTGCGTTGTTTGCAGTTCGGTTAAATTAGCTTTTGGAAGACATACCTAAGCCTGGTACATATTAACTATAATTATTTTATTATTAGCATTCTTCTTGATTAGGTACCTTTTCACTATTTACCTAGTCTCTAGGATAATTTGTTATGGTATCCTCTGAAGATAACTTTCAATGACCATCAGGTAATATTTTATTTTCTTTACTATTTCTATTAATTCTAATCCATGTAGGTATATGCGTTTTTCCAAGAGCGCGTTATATATTTCATCAATTATTATTGTTATATCTGGAGTCGAATGTCTTTCCACCCTTGATATAATTATTATTTTTCGAAACGTTTATAGATTAGTTTTGTATGTGATCTTGATTGATATATATTTAGTTCTTCCTTGAAATAATCTTCTACCTGTAATAGTTCTCTTTTTGACTTTCTATGGTAGTTTTTCTATTTTTGTCCATAACTTTGATATCATTATTTTTCTTCCAATTGTTTGTTTTCAAGTGCATCTGTTCCAGACGTATTTATATCAACAATTATTTAGGTGGGTACTTGAATCTTGATTTATTAAGTAGGTAGGTACCCAGGTATTTTACTTGAGAAATCTAAATTTTCATTCAGATCTTGATGGTTTGAATTCAGACATAATCAGCGATTTCACCGATTTCTAAAAGTGCATCTTCAAGTTGAAAAAGTGAATATAAACACAAATTCAGAAAAGCTTTATTGTTACAGCATCTATTGGCAAAGCGACTTATCCTATACACTAAACTACTATTCAGAGGACACACTCCGCATTCACCCCTAACATTAATTTAAAAAAAATAGGAATCAAAAACAAATCTTCAAAACACAAGGTTATAAAAATTAAGATAGACACACGTTGAAATACCTATCAATCACAGTATGGTACAAATTAAACATCAGAATAACAGAAATCAGAAATAACAGATTTTTTTTTCTTTTTCAGTAATTAGTGAACAACAAAACAAGTCTTCGCCCTTAGAAAAAGTGAAAGAATGCTTGCCGTGGATCAAAAAGCAAGCTGCCAGCAAGCTGACGAAGAAAACCCTCTACAAAAAACTTCCAATTTTAGGATGGTTACCCAATTACAACAAATCCAGTGCGGCAGGGGACTTATTAGCCGGTATCACAGTAGGTCTGATGGTAATACCGCAAGGATTAGCTTACAGGTAAGAATTACTAGTTTATTTCAAAGAGAAGAATATTTCTATTTATTTCTATGAAAAAAGATACATTTTGACTTGTGACCTCTTCAAATCAGGTAATTTTTACCATTATATAACTTGAGAACCTGTCTTTGATGCTATTAATAGTCACCATTATACACTTTCAAATGTCAACCATTACCATTGATATTCCTCTTCTTCTTCTTCTTCTTCTTCTTCTTCTTCTTCTTCTTCTTCATCAGCCTGTACTCGTCCACTGCTGGATAAAGGCCTCTTCCAGATTTTTCCATGTCCGTCGGTCCTCGGCAATTTTTCTCCATTGGATCCCAACGATTTGTCTGATGTCACCTCTCCACCATCTCTGAGGGCGTCCGGCGTTTCGCTTACGTATTCGGTGTCGCCAGAATGTAATTTTAGATGCCCATTTATCTGGGTCCACTCGCGCTATGTGGCCTGCCCATTGCCTAAGTTCTTCCAGTTCTTCCTTTTCTTCTACTTCTTCATGTTCTTTTTGGTCATTATTCTGTGGCCCGAGTTAAGGATATGGGATTCTAATATTCTCTTCTTAGTCATTTTCGAATTCAATCAACACTGGTATCTCTTCTTGTTTTTCTCATCAAATAAAACATTGCGTGATACTGATATCTTTCTATTTATGGAATTATGCAAACGATAATTTGTTGAGTCGTACTTCGTACCCAACAAATATCATTTTATGAGTTCTTGGCTCTAGGTTTTTTTCGATTTTGATCTGGTGTGTATACGTATGCAATACAGCCAAATGTTTCAGCATGTATGGTTTCTCACTTAGAAGTTATTCGATTCAGAATGTATATTGCAGTACTCACTACTGCTTCTGCCCAGAGATAGTGAGGTGCAATTGCACTAATAAGCATTGACCTGACACTCTCTATGATGATACGATTTTCTCTCTCACATCGACCATTCTGCTCTTTGTAGCTCTGAGGTATAGGGTGCAATATTTTCTAGTTCAATGCCTTCTTTGTTCATGTAAGCTTCTAGTTCTTTATTTTCACGACCATTATCGACGTGCAAAGCATTCACTGAGTGTCCAAATTTTGTTTGTTTGTTTGTTTGTTTGTTTGTTTTGATTAAACTGTTAAACTGAACAAAGTACTTATACGTATCACTTTTGTACTTGATAAAATAAGCTACCCAGTACCTGATACTGAAGGTGTCGCTATAGGTTCACATAAGTCACTGTAATTAGTTGTCAAGGAGCACTTTTACTAGCTCGTGTTGACTTCTTGAAACTTTTTCTGTGCTGTTTACCTAGTATGCATGCTTCACACTGAATTTAGTGATCATGCCTTTTAAATACTGCTTTTGATACGTCCAAGCCTCTCATGCCAGTTTTTCAATGAGTCTATAACCTCTTCGGCAACACTAACTTCACTTTGGTTGCACACTGTACGAATACGCATTTTATCAGGTTATTCGATTCTTGCTGAATGGCATTGACTAAAATACATCTTCTTATTTGTCAAGCCTCCTTCAGAAATAAGATTCTTTCTCAGTTCTGGGATGAAAAGTACATAGTGTATGTAAGAGTCACAACATTCTCCATCTATTAATTTCTGAATCTTTACTGTCCCTTTTTTTTTGCTTCTGGGCTCTTCCTATTTCCTAGGTACACAAAAGAAGGACTCTTCAACTCCCCCAATTCAGATAAATAGTCTCTTTTGTAACTCATGTGCGCAGAGGCACCACTGTCTAAAATCCAATGGTCATCACACGATATTAGATTTAATTCTTGTAAATCAATACTTAAGGCTGCTGTCTGATTTTTCTTGCTGTATTCACAATTTTTCTTATCGCCTGTCTGTTTGGGACCCCTGCAGTACACGTTTTTGACAGTTGAAGCATCTTAATGGAAACCTTTTACTTTTTCCTTCATTCTTTTCTGCATTCGAAGTGGTTTTCTCACTGTTCAAGGTTATGACTGCAAAAGCCTCTTGCTCTTCTTCGATTGCTGTAAGACTCTGTTCCTCATCTAAGAGTCTTGTCTTTACATTCTGCTTCGTTTCGTCCATTGACAACCAAGCTTGTCTAACGTTTCGGTATTTAAGTGGCAGCGTGTTAAAAAAAATTGTGATTATGGCAGTTTCACTAACCGTATCACCACAATCTTTGATCTGTTCTCAATTTTTGCTACGTGCTTTGCCACTGAATCACCAGGATTCATCTTGTATTGATGAAATTTTTCATGTGTCATAAGTAAGATTGTTTACCTCTGAATTCTGTCTATAAGAGTCTAACTTTTCCTGATGTCTTTCGAGGTTTGGCAATTTTCTATCAAGGTAATCTGGTCGAAATCCATGGCCGATGTTATTAAAAACATTGCTTGTGCTTCTTTTTTGTACCATGTTGAAAGCTCATCCAATTGAGTAGCAGATGACCCATCAACCAGTCCGCATACAGCCCTTTTGCCTTCAATGCACACTGATTTTGAAACATCCATTGATGATAGTTATTGCCAGTTTTGCAGTAGCCGATTCTTTTAATTACTTCTCCCTAGCACTCTGGGCCAATAACCTGTTACAGGTCTTGCTTGCAGTGGATTGGAAAGATAACACACTTGACTAAACTACAGTTTCTTTATTGAAAAGTTACTAAGCAACAAAGTACAAGGTAATATTTTTCTTCTTCTTCTCAGTTTTTTATGGCCCATTGTCATCTCGCAACAGTCAGCCAGAATTCCAACAATTGTATCCTCAAGACAGCAGTGTAGCGTCTTCAGCTGGGGAATTGGAGCGCCAGAAAAATAGGATATTCTGCGGGTACCTACCAAGTAGAAAACCTTTTTCTATTAATTTTCAATTGCAATTACACATTATACCTATCATGCAATTCAAAGCTCAATTCGCAAAAATTAACAAAGACTAAAAGCGTGCACATCTCCAAAAGCGTTAAACATCCACCGCATCTGTTTAAATACTTATATGATGCTTCTTGATAAAATCCATCACCACAGCAGCCTCCCTACTAGATGGATTCGCCAAAATTTCTTCCATCTGAATCGGACCCTCCTTCATTCCAATCAAACTTGTATACAGCCTGTCTGTCAGGTCTCTATTAAGCTCACAGTTCAATAGTACGTGATTCAGATCGCCCACTTCTCCACATCCACAATTCCACTATCCTGTATACCAAGTTTATGAAGGTGTTTTGATATGAGGCAATGTGCCGTTCTCATTCTGCAAAAAACACTAGCTTTCTGTCGATCTTTTTTCTCTATTTTAATGAACCATGGTACCTATTCGTAGAGGTTCCTTCATTAATTTGTGATGCTGGTTCCAATGATTTCTGCCTTTACTACAATTTTCCACAGCTCATTCCCTCCATGTTTCTTCCTTAGTTATTCTGGCCAGATCCTCATAATGTAATGTTTCATTTACAAAGACGTTAGCCCTTCGGCTCCTTCCTGCAAAGTCATCTGCCTTATCATTTCCTATTATGTCTGAGTGACTAGTAACCCATATCATTTTAATTTCCACACCCCCATCCTGCATTTCTAGAATTTTTTTCCTAGTTCTTAACGTGCTTCTATCTGAAGATCTATGAATACCAACTCTGACTATTTTCTCGATGGCACTCTTGAAATCCAATATCAGGACAACCTTTCTTTTATCATTGTCCAAGGTATTCAAGGCTGCATAGATGACCAGCACCTCTGCTGAGCAAATACGGTATCCGCCAAAATAAACAGTACTGAAATCTAGAGCTCTGAGTAATTGCGCACGCAAGCTGCATTTATCATATTTCGCTTACTTGGCATCAGTTATGAGGTTAACATTGAGTTAAGGTTAAAATCTTCTTTATAATGTATCTTTCAACTTAAGAAACAGTTTTCTTAGTAGAGCACTATTTCAGGTCATACGGATTTGGAAGGAAAAAAGGCCTAAGTTTGAAACAAGTCTCAGAAGAATTTCAGCAATCACTCTTGATAAATATTTTCAATGAATTGCAGAATCGTTATGAAGCTTTTTGGCGTCGTTATGATGCATTTTTTGAACATATACGCATGATACAAATTAATAAATGATATAATTTATATATTCAGTACTGTTTTATTAGTTGAATCCTGACATTTTCCTGTGAAAATTTATTTGTGTTATTGAAAACTCGGATTCCGCACTGTGCTTTTATAGGGTCCACAGATGCATCTGTGTAGATATGTTGATAATCTATATATTCCTCCAAAATTTCCTGCAGTTTTACTTGAGCATCTAGGCTATCTTTTTGTATGTTCGAATCAACCCATTCTATTTTTCGCATTTGAGCTTTCATATCTTCTTCGTAACATGGATTATCCGATTTTTCTAATATTTCTATTTCTACATGGGCAAGCACAAAATCCGCTCCCTCCATAATCGCCGGAGCGCCCTTGGCCCGCCAATAAGGACTGTCTTGGTTGTATAACACATGGAAGTTGATTATCCTCTTGTTAACCTCATCCCCTTTTAAAGCAATTTACCTGAGCATCAATCTTGTACTAAGAAGATTTCTTCGTTTAGCCAGTGGTATTTCAGCCGCTTCGGATAACAGCGCCATTCTGGGTGTACTCTTAATACAGCCAGTCACCCCTCTCAGGGCTTGGTACTGGATACGATCCAATCTGTTCATATTCATCTTACTCATGTGATACATGACTTGACAGCCATAATCAAAGTGAGGTCCATAGAAAAGTGATTTATATTCTTGATATAGAACACTCACTTCTGTTGTAGTCGTCACGTGACATTTCCGACAGTGCTGCCATAGCGGTGTAGTCATTGAACTAATATTTGGCGGGCCGTTTGAATCTCTGTTTTAAATGACTGGTTTGAAATTTCAATTACTTCAAAATAAGGCATTGCTCCAAAACTTTATAAACTAAAATTTTATTCATTTATTTTCGTATATTTATGTGGGAATCACTTAATGAATAAAAAATAGTCTATAAACTAGATGATCGCGTATCTGACTCATGAGCTGGCTGA